TTTTTTGTTCAAGCATTCGCGCCTTCATGAAATCGAGGCAGATCGCATCACGTCCTGCCCCTTCGGATACTCTGCTCAACCCCCCACCCCTCACAGTCTAAAGATTAGCTTTTACACAGGGTCACGGAGGTCGACACCGACCCCCGTCGCTGCCCGCCCTGCGTCTCTGTCGCCCCCCCCCTGTCATTCGCGTGTCATATGTTGCACTTACCACCCCCACCACCTTGCCATTGAACGCGCCAACATTGTGTGTGAAGTCTGAGGGCGTTAGGGTTATAACTTTGCTGTCAGGGTTAGAGTTTTATTTGCAGGGCAACTACCTGCGACTGGGTAGGCTTTCTTCGACGTCCTGGATCAGTAGCCGCAACTTACATTCCGACCCTTGCCCGTCAACCCCTTTTCTTGTTACTTCTTGCCATCCTTCCGCCTGAAACGACGCAGAACAAGAAATGGTCGTACGACAACGAGCACGGAGCCTATACGTGGTTGCAGCATCTGGCCACACCCGCGGTCAACCTGCTTCGCCGGAACGACAAGTACCTCCAAGAGCTGAGGGATCGTGGGGATGACCCCGAGACGTTCATCAAAGAGTTCTTCCTCTCTGGGTTCGGGCAGAAGAAGCTGAAGAAATGGTTCAAGAGCCAGAAGAAGCAGGCTGGCGACTACCACCGAGACCAAGGGCAGACCGGAGCGAGCGGTGGGAAGACAGAGAAGCCTTGCGTGTCCTTGCGCCAGCAGTTGTACTCGACGAACGCTGCTGTTGTCAAGGACCACATGCAGGAGTCATCTCTTCCGAGTCCCGCCCCCGCGCGTGGGAGCGGGGACGGAGACGGGGACGGGGACGGGGACGGGGACGGTGTCGACCTCGGCTGGGACGATGTCGGTGTCGACACCACCGTCGTAGATTCGCGGGATGGCGGAGTCAACCTTGCGCACCGCATGAACGCCGAAGACGAGGCTGACAGTGGCTCGGAGGGAGGCAACGACACCGAGGACCTCCAGGGCCCCGAGGACTCCGACGCCGATGGGAACGCCGATAGCAATGACGAGGATGGTGACGAGGAGGGCGAGGTCGAAGAAGCCGTCACCAACGGGGGGGGAAGCTCGCGCGCAGGGCTGCCCCCCCGCAAATCGCGTGGGAGTGCGAAGGGGGCGGGGTCGGGAAGCAGCATCCCGGGGGCGACCTCGGCAGCTGCGTCGAAGCCGTCCAGCGGTAAGGGCAAGGGGAAGCGTCGCGCGAAGCACGGCACTCACCAGGACTTGGACGATGAGGAGGCGGAGGAGCGCGCAACATCACGCCCCGTTCCCCCTGCCGCCAAACGCGAAAGCGCGTGGGCCCCCCCTGACCGCAAGAATAGTGTGCAAGGGATACTGGAACATGAAAGGGATCAACGTGAACAGAGAACGGACATACTCAGGCAGTTCGTGAAGGCAAGGAGTGGTGGCGGCTCCGGGTCGGGGGGTGGTGGCTCGGATTTCCAGGAACGGCAGCTCGCCGAGCAGACAAGGTCCAACAAGATGAACCAGGTGACCGAGCTCGCGAGGATGGGGGTCGTCAATAAGAAGGAGCTGAGGAAGATGGTCGCCCACGTTTCCCCGGAACTAGCGCAGTTTATGCAGCCAGACGCACTTGATGATCTTAGCCTGCCTTCCGACTTCGACTAGTCGGAAGACTAGTTCCATTTCTTTTGTTTTTTTGGTCTCTTTGGCCTCCTACATAATAACGATAGGCAGGCCTCTGTCCCCTTTCTTTGTTTCCCTCTCGGGTCCCTCGCGGCGTCCCTTTGCCTTCGCCTCTGCCTTCCTGTCGCGGCGTCCTGGCCCTCGGCCTCTTGTCGGTCTGCCCTGCGTATCCAATCCCTGAAGTTTGTCCATCTTTGCATTCTTCACTTTTAGCTTAGTTTCTTCACGGCGTCGAGTGCACCCAGTTTTTTTGAGTGTAGACGGTTGCGTGGTTATGATAGTTGTTGTTCTCCTTGGTTGGGCCCGTGTTCCTTTGACTACGTCGTTTAGTGGATGTGGTGGGATAGGCGCACGGGTGTGGGGGGCGTCGAGCGGCCACGGCTGGCTGAGCGTCTCTTGTCCGCTATCATGCCATTTTTTTTTTTTTTTGTCGGAGCAGGGTTTCGCTAGCCCTGCAGGTTTCGTAGAGTCACAAAATAGAGACCCGAAGGTCCTGCCCTGGTAGTCAGACTGTTGTCGCCGTGTCGTCTTCTCTCTCTCTTTTTTTTTTTCGATCGTACGAAGAGAGTGGCGGTTTTCAGGGGTTGAGTCGGGTTAATCAGCCGCTCGTGTCACGATGCGCGTCTCGCGACATTTTTCCGTTGCAATGTAAGGGCTGAGTTTTCCTCCCGTTTTTTTCGCGGTTCTTTCGTTTTGTGCTTGTAGGAGGAAGACAATGGGCCGGTTTGAATGGAATATCAGTCTCGCGACATGCTTCCGTCGGTAAGTAGCGCCTGTTTCCATTTTTTTTTCGTCTCTGAGCCAGTTGGATGTACTGAGACTGGAGCATAGGGGCGGTCAGTCTCACGGCGTCACAGTAGTTGTAGGTTGTTTTGTGGTAGTCTTGTAATGCTTATTGCCCGGCCGATCTTCTTGACGGACAGGTACCAAGTACATTTTATGGCAACAACGGTGATCCCCAATTTAGTCCCAAGGCGGAGCCACGACTCTTCGAGTTGAACGCCGAGCTCACGGCATCAACAGGGGCGTAAGGTTATGTCCACATCCACGCGTCAAACCGCATGCCACCCGTAGGACCCCCCCACCCACCCACCCACCTCCCATATCCTACGTTCTAAAGCGAAACGTATACGCTAAAACATACGCAGAGGACCTTCAACTGATTTCAAGTTATTATCCCCACCGTTTGTACTTCGGTCCCGAGCCGCTCCGCGCTAACATAGCGAAGGAGGGTACCGCTATCTTGCACGACATCGAGAAGGATAAGAATTGCCGATAGTGAGCCACGAACGCGCCGCCACTTGCCCCTCCGGTTTATCAAAAAAAATAAAAAACGTGCTACCTCAGGACTGTGAAGGAAAACAAAAAAGAGAAATTCCCAAATGCAGGGTATGTTCATCGGCCCTGTGCAAACATGACCTAGATTCACTTCGTTACGGGACAACGCTCGGGCCTAACGTTACAAGATGGCAACTATACAGCCCGGACCTCCCCCCTCATCCCATGTGTTCCTCGCCGACACCTCCACCCAGGCCCCCATCTTTACTCCATGTGAGATGTCCGGCCGTGTTTGACCTGTCGAATCGAGAGAGGGAAACACAACGCGAGAAGAAGAACGCAAAAGTTGAGACCAACGTGGGTAACGGTTTATCTGGCAGTCGCCTCAGCACAATACCAACAAAGGCTATTCGTTGTTGGTTCACGTGGAAGAGCGCAGTTCCGCATGTCGGTAAAATGACCGTACGTGGTGAATCCACTGGCTGAGCTTTCCCAAAGCCTAAACGATCAGCTGTGGACGAACCTCGAATGCCACTCTCAAAATGTAAACAACTCCTAGTTGGCACCGTCAGCGTCCCCGCCGTTTTCAAACATGGCGACGCAATCCGTCCCCAATCAAAACCTCTACCTTCTCGCATTTTCCTGTGGCCGATTGTGTTCACCTGTCACGACGCCTGCGCCTCAGTAAGCCAGGCGCTCTCCCTCCGAGCGCGGCGTCTGTCTGCCATCGAACCTGGTGCTCCCCAGTCGCGTTGTAGGAAGGAGCCCGCGAGGTACGCCGTCTCGGCCGCCCTACCCGATGCTCCGGGATCCGCCCCGGCGGCCCTGCCCGTCCCATTCCTCGTCGGAGCGTCGTCGAGCGGCTGGTACGATGACCACGCGCCCTCGTGCTTCTTGAAGAAGTTGTGGAGCACGCAGCAAGTGTCGATGATCAACGGGCAGTCCTCCAACTTGAAGAGCAGTCCGCGCTGTAGACACAGGAACTTCATCTTCAACCTGGCGTTACATGTGGATAAGTAATGTGCGGGGACAAACGGAAGTAACAAAAACAAAATGAAACATAGATAGGTTCAATCCATCCTTGGCGACGCGCTATTCGAACGCTATAAGGGCGTCAACGAAACGTTCCTTGTCGCGAAAGGGCTTTTAAGACCCTAACCTAAGACGGACACCCTTCCAAGTCTCCAACCAATCAAACAAGCCCCGGCTACAAGAGTCGAGGGGGAGGGGAGGCGTGCAGCGGGTAAGTCTGAGTTTCCACATAAAACACTCCCGCGGTAGTGACAGCAGTCAGGGCCCTCTTGCACAACGACTCTACCGCGACACAAGGGGCCCCACATTCCAAACGCGTGCTCCACGCGCATCCGCATGGACGAATGTTTGAAGTTGAAGTATCGCTCCGCCCTGGTCACCGGCATAGTGTAAGGCGTCCACATCCACGGGCTCTCAGAGAAAGCCGAGTCGCCAAGGATGCAGAAGTCGTCCACGAATAAGGTGCGCTCCGCCGCCGGCATCGTGAGTTCAGCTTGGGCCCGTCGGAGCAAGGCTGTTCCTTGCAGCACGCCGCTGTCAGCGCACGCCCCAGGGCACCCAGAGCACGTCCACCGGAAGAAGCCCTTGTTGTCGACGATGGCGAGGAGGATGATCGAATAGAACTTCTTGTAGTTGTAGTACGCGAGCAGCTGATCTTCGTCCGGGCCAGGGATCCTCATGTGGCTGCCATCGGTGGCCCCTACGACCTTCCTGTTGCGACAGGATGAACAGAACGGTCGATCGCCACATGTAAACAACCAACAGACACAAACAACAACAAGCTACCTCTCCTGGGAACACGCCCGGTCTTTCGACCATGGCTACGGTACACGACACGGAAGGAACCCAACCCCTCATACAACGCCAGCAACACAAGCGTGGAGATATCACGAAAAAAATGGGGTGAGAGATTGAGATAGAGGGAGACAGAGAGCCGTGGTAGCAGAGACAGTGGACCGAATGCTCTCGCCCAACTATGGCCGCACAGCACTGTGCATAGGACAAGCCAGATATCCGCTGCAGAGGGACAAGGATTACTTGGGGTTGGTCGTGCACTGTAAGGCATATTTTGGAATCCAATTGCACGGACCCCCCACTCCCCGTACATCCGTACCTTAATTCCTTCTCCCACTCCCACTCCTTCGCTATGCGGCGTTGTTCGTACGGTCAGGCCACTTGACGTACTGCTTCTCCAGACGACGTTTCACCAGTCGCGCGATGGCAATCGTCCACTTGACAACCGTCCCTTCAGCGATGTCGAAATGGCCAGCCGTCTCCCTCACCCCTCGCCCCCCGCCTACACGAAACAGAAAAACTGCCACTCGTTCGCACGGGTCTATGTACGGTCCGGTACCATTCACTCTGAACCCGTACGTTGTGCCGTATAGCGCTTGGACGAGAGCGCGGAAGGTTGTCTTCCTACATACACGAGAAGAGAGTCAAAAAAGACAAGCAACGGGGTGGGGTCACACGCCTGCTCGTATGCTGGATAGATTGCGCTGCGTTGCATCGCTGCTTCCAATTTTCATTTTTCTTTTTACGTCGAATAAAGTTGAAAAGATATGATGAACAACGGGCAGACTAGGTAATGTGGAAATGGCTACTGTGCGGCAGTGAGAAGCATGCCCTCGTGTACAACAGCAGTGGTTGTGGTTGTGTGCTGCCACACAAAAATCTATGTAGGAACCTCGCGGTTTGTTTGTTTGTTTGTTGACCGCCACAGCAAGCTCTCGCGGTTTGAACGCACTCCGTGAGCGCGCGCTCTCGCGGGCCCAGCACCTCACAAGTCAAGAACCTCTATGATATGTACGTACTACTGAGCGTGTGGGTAACTCCTTGCACAGGGCAGAGGATGAGCTCTTCTGTGGTTGTCTGCGCCGGTTGTTTATTGAGATGAGCAGTACGCAACACAGAACACCGCTAGACCTCCATAAATGGCACCCGACACTGATCGTACCAAGGTCATGTGGAAATGGCTGCTGTGCGGCAGTGAGAAGCAAGCACTCGCGTACAACAGCAGTGGTTGTCGTGTGCTGCCTGCAAAAATCTACATACGAACCTCACGGTTTGTTTGTTCGTTGACCGCCACAGCAAGCTCTCGCGGTTTGAACGCACTCCGTGAGCACGCGCTGTCGCGGGCCCAGCACCTCACCCGCCCACCCTTTATGGTATGTACTACTGAGCGTTGCGAGTTGTACAGCAGGAGATGGGGTTAGGGTCTCGGGGTAAGGTGTGGCAAAAAACGTGGGTGTGGGCATCGATTCTTGGGTTTGTGTCCAAAGGGCTGGAAAAGGGCGGTCGGTCGCTCAAATCGACCCGTGGAGGTCGTGATATCTCAACGAAACCTCCACGAGCGAGGATGACACTTGGAAAGAAGCACCTACTGCTGTGTGTGAAGGTGCTTCTGCAAGGAATAAGCGTTTGGTGCGTGTTTGAGAAAGATTGAAAAAAACGATAGCGTTTTCAGTGTGTGGAGAAAAGGCCGCAAAAAAAAAGGTCGCAAAAAAAAGGCCACAAAAAAAAAAGGTCGCAAAAATACGGTCGCAAAAAAACGGTCGCAAAAAAAGAAATAGTTTTTTTTTCTGGCCTGGGACAGCACCAATTTGAAAATCGGAACAGTAGTGGCGTACGCCATCATGTTCGATATTTTAACCCTGGGATGGTGCGAAGAATGTTTTTTCGGCTCGTTTTAGAGTGCAATAACCCTAAGGAATGGGGTCTTCAATGTAGATGAGCTGGATACGCATTGACGAACACGCAGACGGCACTTCGATGTGTGGAAGTAGGAAAGCGTCTATCGGCCAAGACCATGCCTTCGCCTTAGGGTACGCCAGTGGTTAGATCGCGCCTCTCAAAGGACTCCCACCTGCATCGGAACCAGCTGCGAAAGGTAGCAGAAGGAGTGCGGTGCGCCTTCTTGTTCCAACAGCGCTTCTCATGGGGTACACCCTTGCGATCCCACCTCCCTGTACCATCGAACCAGTCGTCAAGGTTGTCCTGTGTTGCACCTCGCTTCAACTCTTTCGTGAGCAACCCCTCATCATCGCTCAGTAGTTCATCGATGATGAGCAGGTCCTCCACGTCGGAATCGAGCTCCATCTCAAAGCCAGACACGGTGCGCTGGGAGAGAAGAAATTTAGGAACACACAAGACAAGGGACAGGCATATCCTCAGTTATCGTGTTACCAAGTCCCTACACAGCAGTACTATCTGCGGAGCGGCACGCCCTCTACCTCGTCAGTGTAAGCGCAAGATACACCAGACGTTAGACTCGTATATGCGTTTGATGGGTATAGCGATCGCGACAAGAGCCCCTCCTCACGCCCATATTGTATGAATTAAAGAACGTGTGTAGCATGGCGTTGCCCTGTGCCGTCGGTGAGCACACGCGCCGATCCCCCCTGTGGCCACCACCAAGATACGCCGTTATGTGAGATGATGAAGCTCATGGCCACTGCCGCCTACCTTATCTTCTCGGCAAATTGTATCAATGGTGGTAAACCTTCAGTCGACACGCGGAAATAACGTCGAGCTACTTGCGCTCGGACGTGGTAGCTCTGTTTGATGGGTGGTCCGGGTGCACGTGCATACCGCCTACATCCCATTCATTGTGAGAGAGGGGGGGAGAGGGGGGAGGATTTGTTTCGGCACAACTACCGCTGCAAGCCCGAGGGAAAAAAAAAAGATAGATAGAGAGAGAGTGTGTGTCAGAGAGAGGAGACACGGGGAGCGGGGTAGCGAATGGGAGCGGGATAGAGAGAGGCCAAGGGGAAGCCCGTGCCTGTGGGCCCCTATGCGCAAAGGCATCGACAAGCACGCACACATTCGCACGGGCGCTGGAGGCAGACTTAGCTTGCCACATACAAAAGCCCATCCATGTTGACATGTACACACGGATGGACCTCTCTCTCTCCTAGGCTGAAGTCGGCGTGCTGGCGATGTTGGGTCGTACACCATACATTCTTCGACACAACGATACACAGCACTTGGGAGCGCAAATGGGTTGGTCCCTCCGCCACAACAAAAACGTCCCGCCATTTCTTGTGTTGGCGCAGGCCCCGCCCCATGCATAGACGGGAGGGATACTTAGACCCCGCCTCCGAAGAGAGTCCGAGAGAGAGAGAGAGAGAGAGAGAGAGAGACGAGGGTTTCGGTTCCTTCCGGAGTTTACAATAGTGCTCGTGTGTCGGAGGACATGCATATGATATGTCCATGGGCACAGAGCCCACNTGTGTTGGCGCAGGCCCCACCCCATGCATAGACGGGAGGGATACTTAGACCCCGCCTCCGAAGAGAGTCCGAGAGAGAGAGAGAGAGAGAGAGAGAGAGACGAGGGTTTCGGTTCCTTCCGGAGTTTACAATAGTGCTCGTGTGTCGGAGGACATGCATATGATATGTCCATGGGCACAGAGCCCACAACAGCAGTGTAAACTCTGTGGTGACAGAGTGTCCCTTTGGAAACGCAAAGTGAAGCTCGGCAAACCCCAAAGTGTGCTGGAAAGGGACCTGATTGCACCATAACATGATTCGTGCTCATTGTGTGTAGGGTGGGCGGGGTTCTGCCACAGCCCAAAGAATGCTGTTGAAAAACACGAACTCCCGACGACACCTGTGGTGCAATCGGGCCGCTTTTCTTGGAACTGTGGAATTACCGGGTAACTACGGTTAATAGTGTGGTATGGGACAGGGCTGGTGTAAACTGAGTGCAGCCAAGCGTACTACTTGGAAAGAGAGCAGGTGGAAAAGAGCGGGACATGTTTGAAAGGATACTGAACTATCGGGAAGTTGTGAGGCGGATTGGTATATATAAGGGAAATAAGTTGAGAGATTCGACAGGTCTTTTGAGAGGAGGATTGGATAGAATCTTAGATTCTCGGAATGCAAGTAGGGACTGTCAGCAGAGTTGGGTTAAGAGTAGGATTTTGGAAAACTGTGGACATGTGTGTGGACGAAGAGACACCCCCAAGTGGTCAGTCTGACCCGCCCGGAGTCTTCTCCCATGTTGTCCCGATATGGTCAGAACTTCTAATAACACGACACTTTGATCGCAGCTCTACTGGACTTAAAACATTACCAGGACAAGAACCTCGGCATTCAACACAAATACGTACGCGGTGGGTAGCGCACCCCGATCCCCCGATACTG